GAACCAGCTATTAATTAAGAGCATTAAGAACAAGAACCTGTGACGTGTCAACGTGTGATTCGTTGCTTATTTTGTAACAAGAAAAAAAAACTCTCCTTTGCGTTTTGACTCTCTCCCTCTCGACTCTCTCTGATGGCGAGTTCAGAGGAGAAACGGCTCGAGCTACTGATTTGAGACGAGAAATCACTCGCAAATTGTGTTACCAGTCTTCGATTCTCTGTTACCATCATCTCCTGCTCTGAATCGGCGAATTTGGTTGACAAAATCGGCCAATTTCATTGAAGGATTGTCCAATCTCTTTGCATGGTACGAATTATCTCATTTCCTATATAGATCGTGGTGAATTAAGGTACGTTGATGATTAGGGTTCTTTGAATTAGGATTTGATCTAATTGAATTTAGGGTTCTTTGATGTTATCGAAATTAGGGTTCTTTGAATTTGGGATTTGATCTAATCGAATTTAAGGTTGTTTGCTTGTTATGATTGCCGTAGGAATTTCAATGTAGTGATTGAAGGAAGAAGAGATTAGGAGGGTCTTTGATCTTGTTTGAAGGGTCTTTGACCAGTTTCTTTGTTTTGGGAGATTTTTGGCTTTGAGAGTTTGAAGATCTCTTCAACAAATCTCCAAGATAACTCTTTTGTAGAGTTTGATCATTGGTTGTTCACTGCAATCTCGATGTTTCAAAGATTATTACGAAAATTACGCTTCTTGGTCTTATCAATTTTCGTGTTACATGGTCTCATCAACCTCCGCCTCGACAGAATTTGCATTAGCTTGTGACAAATTATGTCAAAACAAATCCTTCATGTTCTTGAGATGGGGTTCTTGATCGACTTGTATTGGCTTTTTGCTGAAGAATATCTTTTCTTGTTAAATTTGCAACCTGCAGTATTTGTTGCAGAGAGCACGATAAGCTCAGGTACCGCAGGATCTTCGTCTAATGGGGACTGAGAACACAGCGGCAATCGTAGCAGGTGTTGCACTTGTTTGACTCGCTGCTGCTTCCTCTATGCTCCTACAAGTCGGAAAAGACCCCGACTCAACAAAAAACAGTGGATTACACTGGACCGTCTCTTAGCTAGTACATCAACAATTTCAAGCTTTCGGAAATCGTCAAGCTTCTGCTCCCACTCTAACAGAATCTCCACCAGTGGCTCAGCAAGAAACCTCACCGCTGGAAACTCCACCGGAGACTCAACAAGAAACCTCATTGCCGGAAACTATGGCCAGTGAAGCTCAGCCGGAGGCAACTTCTGTTGTAACAACAAGTAGTACCTCTTAGGAGATTTAACCTCGGGTTCGATATATGTTGTAAAGATGAAATGAAACATAAGCGAATATTATGCATTTTGTTAATATTCGGATGCAAATACTTATATATACTCTCCTCTATGAGCTGGTTGGTTTAATCAAAATTCAAATCCTTTCCATAGTATCGAGCCTCTTAATATCTTTCCTTACCGGAGACATGTTGAGACATTGTTTTGACTGGATCTCTAGCTTTCCTTATGTACTGCAGGAGTTTGATACCAATTCTTGAGGTCTCGGACCAAGAAAAGTTTAAGGTTTACACGATTTTTATGGAAGCTTTGAACGTAATCTCTTTGCTTAGTTACTTATTTGAATGAGACAAGTTCAACCTCGTTCTTGATAGGAACTTAAGGACTCACTTCTTTCTCTCAACACGAAAACAGAATACACTCTGTTTCCTACTAAGCTTAAACAAGAACAACTAAGTGTTAAGACAACTAGTTGTCTATCTCTTTATTATCCCAACAGTTGATCATTAGCTCTCATGTATCTTTAACGGTTTTAACCCACCCATAAGCAAGCTTCATTCTCG